CCTTGACCGGAATCGAACCTGGGACCCTTCAGTCCGCAGGCTGATGCTCTATCCACTGAGCCAAACCGGTTAGAGCTGATCATAGCTATTTGTTAGCTAATTTTTAGCCTTCAGCTCTCATCTCAAAGGCCACCTCCTTAGGGAAGTCTTTCTTGAGGACTACTAGGTAAAGTCCTTTGTAAGTTACTGTAAATGATGTCTTCTTCTTGGCTTCTATAGGATTATATATTTGTAATATCTCTGCTGCGTGGACTATGGACTCCATGAGGACAGGATCTCTCTAGCCTTGTCCAGTGCCTGGCACCCCGTAGGTGCTCAATAGAGGCTGTTGAATGCATAAACAAACATTAGGCAGTAGCACAAATCTTAGGGCCCCTGGATATACAGATGAATGACAATTCTCTGTGACAGTTTCCAAACTTGACAGATCTGTATTCTCTGAGCCTGGTTCATGGTTAACTGCTATCTAACAGAATTGTGGCTTTCCCCCTTCACAAACGGCATTTTTAAAGGTGGTAGAGGAACTCCTTAAAATCGAAGACCCAAAGAGATGGTCCTGTCCTCTGAGAACAGGCAGTTGGACTAGTTTATCCAGCTATGACTCTGTGCTGACCCATCGTACGTGATGCCCCTGCGGTCAGTGGCACACACGTGAGAGATGGCCCAGCCGGGCGTATCGCTCAGTGGTGGTGGCTCAGAATCACCAAAGCTGACCGGCCCCCGAGGGAATCAAGTTCATGGCTATGGACTTCAGCATCAGCAGTGCTATCATCATCGATGGAAATGATTCAGGTTTCATCATCTTATTTCAGACTCTTGAAATAGGAATGTCTAGATTTCGAACTTGTTGAGGTCCCTTCTATTCAATTATTCATGTGTTACATACACTCAGGAAATATTAATTGAGCCCTTGCTGTGTGCCTGCCACAATGGGAGGCACTAAATTTAGCGCAGGACGTGAAGCACGGCAGGCCTTCCATCACAATGGCGCTTAGATGGATGGTCACATTGTCATTGAGAGGTTTCCAGAAGGAGGGACTTGAACTTGCTTTGAAGCAGCCTCCTCTCTCAAGCCTGTTTCTCTCAATTGGATTTATTTTGAAGTGTCAGTGTGTTTTTAGTTTGCATGCATTTTTAAAATCAGAAGGCTGGGCAAAGGTGGCTCTAGACCAGGGGTGGGCAAACTTTTTGACTCGAGGGCCACAATGGGTTCTTAAACTGGACCGGAGGGCCGGAACAAAAGCATGGATGGAGTGTTTGTGTGAGCTAATATAAATTCAAAGTAAACATCATTACATAAAAGGGTACGGTCTTTTTTTTTTTTTTTTAGTTTTATTCATTTCAAACGGGCCGGATCCGGCCCGCGGGCCGTAATTTGCCCATGGCTGCTCTAGACAATCTTACATTTGAGATGTGTAAGTATTTCAAAATGAAAGAAGAAACTGCAAAATTTCAGTGTTTATTTAAGGTCTTAAAAATGCCTATAATGTAAATATACATACATACACACTCCTCTCTCTCTCTCTCTCTCGATTGCAGAGACTTATAATCCAGCTTGAACTAAATTCTTTCTGGTTCTAAGAGACCAGATGCTATGAATTTTCTTACATTACTTTAAAAATAACCCAATAAGTGTTCAACCATAACTCCCACGTGGAAAAAGTGACAGATGACAACCCCTCTTCTCAGAGAAGTAACAACCTCAAGATGGTCGTCAAATGGATTATTCCACTTGTCCATTATTTATGTAATTGGTTAATTGGGTGAGTCATTATTTAAAGATAAGGAGCTAAAATAAAACTTAAAAAAAGCCTTAGGCTACTCAGAAGCAGTGCTTAAAGGAAGATAACACTACCTAGGTTAAGACAATCCCAGATGCTATAGGATTCTTATCCCCATGGTTGTGGGACAATCCTGTGATGTCGGTTCTAACCAAGGAAAGGCTTGGTGAGAATCTGAATGGTTCATGATATGAGATTTTACTATTGAAGGAAGTGGGCTGCACATTAGAGACAGAGAGAGAGGTATCCTATATAATAAAAGGCTAATATGCAAATTGACTGAATGGTGGAATGACCAGTCACTATGACGTGCACTGACCACCAGGGGGCAGATGCTCAATGCAGAAGCTGGGCTCATGTCTGGCAAGCGCAGCAGCGTTGGCAGGAGCTTCTCCTGCCTCTGCAGCAGCGCTAAGGATGTCCGACTGCGGGGAGCGGGCCTAAGCTGTCAGTTGGACATCCCCTGAGGGCTCCTGGACTGCCAGAGGGTGCAGGCCGGGCTGAGGGACCCCCCACCCCAGTGCACGAATTTTGTGCACTGGGCCTCTAGTAAATGTATATTTACATTATAGGCATTTTTAAGACCTTAAATCTAAAAGTATATTAGGTTGAAATGTATGAAAATTTTTGTTCAACTTTCAAGCAATTTATTCCATTGTGGATACCAAAGTACAGTTTTGTAGTGAAGAGCATGGGTTCTGAGTCACATTTCCGGGTTTGTACCTGGGCAACCTCGTTGATTTGCTACACGTCCTTCGGCAAGTTGTTTAGTTCTTCAGCGCTTTTGTTTTCTCATGTGAAAAATGGGGATGATAGTGATTCCCACCTCCAAAGCTTAAGAATTAAAGAATGCTCGTAAAATGCTTATTAGCACAATGCTTGGCACATAGTGACTTTTCAATACATGCTACCCATTAGCACCTTACCTGGGCATCATGAGCAATGGATGTCAGATATTGTGGGATTTGATGGGTTAGTGCAGTGGTCGGCAAACTCATTAGTCAACAGAGCCAAATATCAATAGTACAACGATTGAAATTTCTTTTGAGAGCCAAATTTTTAAAACTTAAACTATATAGGTAGGTACATTGTTATTAACTTAATTAGGGTACGCCTGTGCCACGTCTTCCATCGCCTGACTGACCAACACCCCCCACTTCTTCTAACGCCACTTCTTCAAAATAGACTTGCCCAGGCCGAAAACCAACTTCTGCACATGGGCCACGAAGTTTCAATCGCACTGTACGTGCGCGCCTGCATGTGGTATTTTGTGGAAGAGCCACACTCAAGGGGCCAAAGAGCCGCATGTGGCTTGTGAGCCGCAGTTTGCCGACCACTGGGTTAGTGTTACTGTTAGTGTTAATATTAGGGTTAGGTTTATTCCTTGGGAGGGAAAATTGGCTTTGGTAATGCTCTCTAAAATACCCCTTTCTTGATCTTGTATGCATATATGCATGGCCCATGGACACAGACAGTGGGGTGGTGAGGGCCTGGGGCAGGTGCGGGTTGGAGGGGGCCAGTGGGGGAAAAGAGGGACATATGTAATACAATAAAGAATTATTTAAAAAATAAAAATATTTTATCTTAAAAAATAATAAAATATCCCTTTCTTTTAGCATTTTCCCCAAGGTCCTACTCTTGGAGCCTACACTGACTTCTGATCCATCACCCCAGGACTTTCTGTTCCCCAGTTTTTCTCTTCTTTAGCTTGTTTTTTTCCATTACTGGTCAGGTGCTTCTTTGTGAGCTTGAAAAGTGCCGACTCATGACTTATTCGCTACTTCAAAGCCATATGTTCCATTTTATCATTGGCATCCAACTTATCTATCTGACCTTCACCACTTTATTCAAAATTCAAGCAGTCAGAAGCAAACACCTTTCATCTCCTCACATGTTTGCTTAAAAGCTCAAAGTCAAAATGTCACCACGGCGTCTTAAGATTTCTCAGACTATTTTGCATAAATCTACCCAAGAGAACAGACGTATACACTGGATCTATTAACGTCAGGATAATAAAATCATTCCAGGTCCACTTTGATGACAATAAATATTCATAAAAGTTTCTTTCATTTTAAAAGAGGTCTGATATTGGAAATTATTCTATCCTTTCCCCGGAGCTTTCTTTTGAAACAGATGTTCCATCCATCCAGTTGAATGTTAACTCAAAGACATATCAGGAAAAAACAACAACAACAACAAAAAAAACCTCTTTGGAATCAAATTTATTTTGATTAAAAAATATTTTTATTGATTTCCGAGAGGAAGGGAAAGGGAGAGAGAGAAACATTAATGATGAGAGAGAATCATTCATTGGCTGCCTCCTGCACGACCCCACCTGGGGATTCAGCCCCCAGCCCCGGCATGTGCCCTGACCAGGAATCGAACTATGACCTCCTGGTTCATAGGTTGACACTCAATCACTGAGCTACGCTGGCCGGGCTGTTTCATTCTTATACAAGATTTGACCCCTTTTATGGGTGAATCAATACTTCAAAGGGCTTCTCTGACCCTGTTCTTTCTCCCCTTATTCTTTGTCTCACTGATTCAATCCTCATTCATTCACCATGGATCTGAATGTCTCAAGATTTCCTACACCTTCCACATGAAGCACTGGCATTAGTAAATATATTTACTAGTAATTCTGAGAGTGTTTGTTAGAATTTTAGCAGTTTGTAATCCTCTTCTCTTTCTCTTTGTACTTCCAGGGCATAACCTTCAGTAACAGAACGAATCAGGCCACTCAGCAAGCTGCCAGTTCCTGCCAGCACCTTGTTGAGGAACCCAGCTGGACCCATTTCTAATCAACACCCCCCCCACCCCACACACAACATCTCTGGGTCACTGAAGGAAACCAGACCAGAATTTGAAAATTTTCAGACTTCCAATAGATACTGAGTGCACTCTGCCTTGCACAAATCTGCTCTAATCGAGGGACATAGCGGGAGCATACAGGTGTTACTTTTACCTAAGAAGTCACACAAACACATTCTCCATTTAAACCTCTGCACGTAGAATGGATGATGGTTATTGAAACAGCCCGAACCTCTACCACGGTGCACAAGATATAGCTTGAGAGGTGACCAGGCAGTCGCGGAACCAAGGAATGGATGCTTATAAATATCAGGACAACTATGAGGGCTATGCCCACACGGATGGCTATTATCCCGGCAATGAGTCCAACCCAGAGGAGGATGCACAGAGTGATGTTACCGAGGGCCATGATGAGGAGGATGAGATCTATGAGGGGGAGTACCAGGGCATCCCTCACCCGGATGATGTCAAGGCCAAGAAGAACAAGATGGCGTCCTCCAGGGAGGATGACCTTCGGGGCCAGGCAGACCTGATGGCTGAAAGGATGGAAGATGAGGAGGAGTTGGCTCATCAGTATGAGACCATCATGGACGAGTGTGGCCACGGGCGCTTCCAGTGGATCCTGTTTTTCGTCTTGGGTTTGGCCCTGATGGCTGATGGGGTGGAGGTGTTTGTGGTGAGTTTTGCCCTGCCTAGTGCAGAGAAGGACATGTGTCTGTCCAGTTCCAAGAAAGGAATGCTTGGTAAGTGGAAATTTCCAAAGATCATTCTCTTCCTGGCATTAAAATATGAAGGGGAAAGAACAGTAAATTTATGTAGCACCTGTCGCTGTTAGGCACCTTAAATCTTTAAATCTGTCATCATATCCTTTCAACATTATCATTTGACACACAATTTGCCATGACGGTGTTTTTTTATCTTAGAGAAATTAATTGGCTCACATTTAGACAGCTAATGAGTATTGGAGCTTGGAATTCAGTTTTGTTTGATTCTCAAGCTCTTAGTTCTTTTTGTTGTTGTTGTTAATCCACACCCGAGGATATTTTTCCATTGATTTTTAGAGGGAGTGTACAGGAGAGGGAAAGACACACAGAGAGAAACATCGATGTGAGAGAAAGACATCAATTGGTTGCCTCTCGTATGTGCCCTTGACTGGACCCTTCAGTCCTCGGGTTGACACTCTACCCACTGAGCAGAACTGGCTAGGGCAAACTCTTAGTTCCTTTTCCAAATCTTGTCCCCTCCTTGAGAGTCTGAGTTCTCTCTCCTTCATATTAATATATATATATATTTTATTAATTTCAGAGAGGAAGGGAGAGGGAGATAGAGATAGAAACGTCAATGATGAGAGAGAATCATTGATTGGCTGCCTTCTGCATGCCCCTTACTGGAGATTGAGTCTGCAACTGGGCATGTGTCCTTACCGGGAATCAAACCGTGACCTCCTGGTTCATAGGTCAATGCTCAACCACTGAGCCATGCCGGCAGGGCTCTCTCTCTCTCTCTCTCATATTAAACCATTTTCCATATCCAAGTGACAAATACGTTTTGTGAGTGGCAGGCCAAGGTCTCTTCCACTCTGTGCTTTCCTCTGTGTCCTTGCAGAATCCACTCTGCTGCTGGTTTCTCTTGTATGCAAGTCTGAGTAGGCCCAATGCCCACATGTCTCGGGGATAGATGCTGGGCTGAGCACACCCACGGAGCCCCTGCAGGCTGTTGAGAGTCATGTGGTGAAGCACAGATGGATTCTGCAGGGTGGAGACCCAGCTTGCAAATCAAGGAGATGTGAGCACCCTCAGAGCCAGCATCAGCCATCAGGTCTTGATGCAGCGAGGATTTTGTGAAATTTGAGAAAGGAATGTGGCAGAGAAGAGATTCATCAGCATATGGACAAGGATTTGTCCTGGTCATTCAATGTCCTGCAAAACCCATTCGTTCTCCAAATGTAGAGGCTGTGCCATGGATCCGTTAGCAAACATACAGTTATTGAAAGCTTACTAGGAGTCAGGTTCTGACTCAAGACTGAAACCTACGTAATGGCCCCCAAGAACTAAAAATCTATCTAGCAACTTGGTTTATTCATTCAACAAGTATTTGCTACTTGTATTCTACATGCTCATCTCTGTGTCCAGCCCCTGGGGAGAAAATAAGGAACTAGATAGACACGATCCTTGCCTCTCAGCGAGCTTATGTAGAGCAGGTATTAATAAACACAGAGACTTAGTACAGGCTATGAAATACCTGTGCTATTCTGGTCCGCAGTACTTGCTTCCCAACAGTGGTGGCAAACATGTTTTGTAAAAGCCCGGATAGTAAATATGGTAGGCGTTGTGGGCCCAGATGGTCTCTGTCACCACTAATCAACTCGGCCTCTGTAGCACAAAAGCAGCCTTAGACAATATGTAAACAAGTGGGCGTACCTGTGTTCTAATAAAACACTATTTACAGAAAAAGACAATGGGTAGGATTTATCCTATAGGCTGTAGTTTGCTAGCCTCTGATACAGAGTCATTACAAATAAAATTAAGATAAAAAAATTTTAAATCTCTATAAAGAATTATCCCTGGAGGGAAAAGACATTGAGTATACACAACCAGAAGTAATGACTTGAGAAGTAAGGCTGTCAACCGGAGCTTTTAAACACCAACATAATTTTAGTAGTTTTTTTGGTTATTGTTTGTTTATTTATTTTTAATCCCCATGCCAGGATATTTTTTCTTTTTTGTCTTTTTTTAAATTTTTTTTTTATTTTTTAGAACAGCATCCTAGTATGGGATTAGGTGCAACAGAGCCCTCTTGTGGAAATTCTGAGAACAGCATGGTAGTGTGGGATTAGGTACAATAAGGTTTTTAAACAATGAGCAATTTTATTTTTTTGCTTTTTTAAAAATTGTTTTATTGAATGAGCACTTTTTAAAACAGTAATTATTACTGTTCTCAAACACTTTCATACACAAAACACACTCCTTAAAACAAGAATTCCAACTGTTCCACTTTCCTAAACAATAAGCACCTCTTAAATCAAGAATACAGTGTTTTCAAACACTTTTCTACACAATGCCCTCTCTTTAAAACCAGGAGTCTACGTGTTTTGAAACACTTTCTTACGCAACGTGTAGCTTTTTAAAACATGAAAATGAGAGTGTTCCAGACAGAGTTAGCTAGTAGTGTTTATGAATATATTGTTTATGTGTTATCATAGAATAATACATGCTTTATCTATTGGTAAGATGGTCCGCACTTTGAAGGAATACATAGATTAACCCAGTGTGTGGAAAGCTGTTAACTTCAGTGAAATACTGTAATATAATTTCATTTACTTGGGGAGCTTGCTGGAGCATTCATAACACAATTAGGATATGTATCATTTAGTAATTATAACTATGGTGAAGCAGTTTACTGAAATCCAATGCGGTAAGAATTAATTCTAAGTGTTTTCAAATACTTTCCTACACAATTGAAAGCTCTGTAAATGTGAATTCTAACTGTTTTCAAACACTTTTCTACACAGTTTGCAGCAGTTTAGCAGTGAATTCTAAGTGTTTTCAAACGCTTTTCTACAGTTTTCAGAGTAATAATTATAAGGATGCTCAAACATCTGGATAAGAAATTAACCAACATGTGTAAGAATCAAGAGGAAATGAAGAATGACATAGCTTCAATAAAGAACACAATGGACAGTTTCAACAGTAGACTAGAGGAAGCTTAGGACCTAATCAGTGAATTAGAAAACAAGGTAGAAAAAAATCCAAGCAGAGCAGCAACTGGAAAAAAATTAAAAAGCAGGAGGAGAGTCTAAGGGAGCTTCGGGATAACAAGAAATGAAACAACATCTGCATAATAGGGGTGCCAGAAGGAGAGGAAGCTGAGCAAGGAATAGAAAACCTGTTTGAAGAAATAATGACAGAAAATTTCCCTGACTTTGGGAAGAAAAAAGTCACACAAGTCCAAGAAGCACACAGAGTCCCAAACAAAATGAACCCCAAAAGACTGACACCAAGACACATTGTAATTAAACTGGCAAATGTCAACAACAAAGTAAGAATCTCAAAGGCTGCCAGAAAGAGACAGAAAGTTACCTACAAGGGATCTCCCATTAGACTATCAACTAATTTCTCAACTGACACACATCAGGTCAGAAGGGAATGGGATGAAGTATGCACAGTTATGCAAAGCAAGGGACTAAATCCAAGAATACTCTATCCAGCAAGGCTATCATTCAAAATTAAAGGTGAAATCAGGAGCTTTGCAGACAAAAAAAAGGACTAAGGGAGTTTATTACCCCCAAGCCAGCAATGCAAGAAATGCTAAAGGGACTGTTATAAAAGTAAAGAAATAGAAAGCGAAGAAGTAATACAGGCATAAAGAATAAAAACGGCAACAAACAAGTACCTATCAATAATAACCTTAAACATAAATGGATTAAATGCTCTAATCAAAAGACATAGGGTAGCTGAATGGATAAGGAAACATGACCCATATATATGCTGTCTATAAGAAACCCACCTTAGAACAAAGGACTCACACAGACTGAAAGTGAAGGGATGGAAAAAAAAAATGTTTCAGGCAAATGGAAATGAAAAAAAAAAAGCTGGAGTACCAATACTAGTATCTGACAAAATAGACCTCAAAGTGAAGGCCATCCTCTCCCCTCTCTTTCCCAACAGGGATGATAGTCTACCTCGGAATGATGTCGGGGGCCTTCGTCCTGGGGGGCCTGGCTGATAAGCTGGGGAGAAAGAGAGTCCTCAGCATGTCTCTGGCCCTCAACGCCTCCTTCGCCTCCATCTCCTCCTTCGTGCAAGGTTACGGAGCCTTCCTCTTCTGTCGACTCATCTCGGGCATCGGGTATGTAGTCTCAGCGCTTCAGCTGGACCCTCCTGGAACAATGGTCGGTCCTTCCTGGAACTCCAGCGCTGAGCCGTACTTCCAAAAATCCCGGAACTGGGTTTTTGTCTGACTTCCAAGATACTGTATTGAAGTTACCCTTAGAAAGGTACCCTCAGTTAAGGTCAGTATAAGATGACCCTGTCTCTGCCAGTCTTTCTTTTCTTTTTTTTTTAAATCCTCACCTGAGGATATTTTTCCATGGATTTTTAGAGAAAGTGGAAGCAAGAGGGAAAGACAGAGAGAGAAATATTGATGTGAGAGAAACACATCGATTGGTTGCCTCTTGCACACGCCCGACCATGTCCCGGGCTGGGGAGGACCCTGCAACCGAGGTATGTGCTCTTGACTGGAATCAAACCCGGGGTCCTTCTGTTCGCAGGCCGATGCTCTACCCATTGAGCCAAACCGGCTAGGGCCTCCACCCATCTTTCAAATCCACTTGGTTCTTTCACCACAGAGCCTACGGGTTGGGTAGAGGCTGCTTGGTTTCTGCTGTGACCAGCAGTTCTCAGCCTGTGGGTCACGACCCCTTTGGGGGTCGAACGACCCTTTCACAGGAGTCGCCTAAGACCATCGGAAAACACATATTGAATATATAATTACATATTGTTTTTGTGATTCATCACTATGCTTTAATTATGTTCAATTTGTAACCATGAAAATACATCCTGCATATCAGATATTTACATGACGATTCATAACAGTAGCAAAATGACAGTGATGAAGTAGCAACGAAAATAATTTTGTGGTTGGGGGTCACCACAACATGAGGAACTGTATGAAAGGGTCGCGGCATTAGGAAGGTTGAGAACCACTGGCTGTGACCATTTTTAGTGTGTGACTTGATTCTTTCCTTTTGGCATTTTTCGCCCCTGCAGTATTGGTGGAGCTCTGCCCATTGTGTTTGCCTATTTCTCTGAATTCTTGTCTCGGGAGAAGCGAGGGGAGCACCTCAGTTGGTTGGGCATCTTCTGGATGACCGGGGGCATCTATGCCTCTGCCATGGCTTGGAGCATCATTCCGCACTACGGTGAGCGCTGGCTTCAATAGCCAGGGGCCCTGTTACTATGGCACCTGCACCCAGACGACATCTCCTCGTTCCCCATGCTCGCACGCAGTTCCTGGGTATGACCGCGATCTTCCTAAAGAACTTCCAACACTGGAGACCCATTGGCTAATTTCAGTACGTGTTTCAGGAAGTAATCCAGTCTGTCCTCCCTCCCGCCCACATCCCCTTCCTCCTCCCTAATTCTCTCCTCTCCTTTTCTTTTTTCCTTCCTTTTTATTTGAAAGAATTTCACCTGTAATCTCCTCCAGCCATGGTCCCCTGAACAAGTGAGGCTCTGGTAATTCCATTTTACAGATGATGCAACAGAAGCCAAGAGAAGTTGGTGACTTAGCTAAGGTCACCTGGCATGACCTTGAATCCTGATGCTGCCTCACCATCCCCAGCCCCTATGCAGGACTCTTGTAGACAAGAACAGCTCTTTTAAAAAAAAAAAATATTTGTATTGATTTCAGAGAGGAAGGGAAAGGAAGAGAGTGATAACAACATCATTGATGAGAGAGAATCATGGATTGGCTGCCTCCTGCACACCCCCCACTGGGGATCGAGCCCCCAACCCCGGCAGCCCTTGACCAATAGAACCTGGGACCCTTCAGTCCGCAGGGCAACGCTCTATCCACTGAGCCAAACCAGCCAGGGCTCAAGAGCAGATCTTATGACAAGGTCTGGTGTCAGCCGGGACAATTTTATTATCCGGATAATTGTGAAAAGTCGATTCTCTGGGCAGAGACCTGGCAATGTTAACTTTCACGGTTGGTTTTGTGAAGAGTAAAGTAGGGAGAAGGCAGCAGTTTTGAATTTGATTAGGTCTTTTGAGTATCCTGGGTGACAAATACCATCAGCATCCTTCAAGATCATTTTCAGAAAAACACCAATGATGGGTGTAGGCTTTGCCATAATTTAGGACCTGCAGAGGGATGGGGATAGCAGACATCTTGCTCCTGAAGCTAACCAACACTTCTCTCATTTTGTTGTTGTTGTTGTTGTTGTTAATTCTCACGCAAGGATATTTTTTTCCATTGATTTTTAGAGAGAGTAGAAGGAAGGGGGAGAGACAGAGAGAGAAACAGCAATGTGAGAGAGAAACATCCACTGGTTACCTCTCTCACACGCCTCAACTGGGGCCAGGGATTGAGCCTGCAGTCAAGTTAAGTGCTCTTGAGGGAATTGAACCCGGGACCCTTCAGTCCGGTCCATGCTCTAACCACTGAACAACTGGCTAGGGCTTGGTATCCTTGTTTTATTGATTTTTTACAGAGAGGAAGGGAGAGGGATAGAGAGTTAGAAACATCGATGAGAGAGAAACATGCATCAGCTGCCTCCTGCACGCCCCCTACTGGGAATGTGCCCGCAACCAAGGTACATGCCCTTGACTGGAAGGTGTCCTTGTTTTAAATGTGGTCCTGTGTGTGTTCTGAGCTAGTGGAGGCTCCAGGCATATCTTTTTTTTTTTTTAATATTCTCTCTCATCATTGTTGTTTCTCTTTCCCTCTCCCTCTCATTTCCTCTTGGCAGGCTGGGGCTTCAGCATGGGCACCCACTACCACTACCACAGCTGGAGGGTGTTTGTCATCGTCTGCGCTCTGCCCTGCACCGTGTCCTTGGTGGCCCTGAGGTTCATGCCCGAGAGCCCACGGTTTCTGCTGGAGGTGAGTCAGCGCTCCTGCCCCCAGTCGGAGCGGCGGTGAGACAGCGCCCGGAGCTGGCTCTGCATTCTCAGCCCTTTAGACCCTCGTCCTCGCTTGCTGCCTGTGATGGTGGCTTGCCCTGGACTCATGGACTGCCTAGGCAGGAGGCTCAGGAGCTCACCAAGCGCTGGGCAAAGGGGCTGGGGGGTGGGGGGGCCTCCCGAGTTGCTTCTGCTCCTCACTCTCTGGGGGTCCCAGTAATGAGGCTCTGCAAAGCTGTGTGACATTTCTCCTTGGGAGGTCTGTGGTGAAGCTTGTCGCTTTAGGACTTTTAGCCATGCAGGACCCCTCCTCACCCAAAGGCAGCTCCCGGGGTCCTGAGAGATAAGTCCCCGGAGCCTTCCACCTCGGGGTCTTCTGCGTGCAGCGGTCAGACGGGGTTGGGCTGGTAGAGGGGTAGTAGGACTCACAGGCTCTTGCAGCCCCAAGTCTGAGTCCACTTGTGGGCCTCTTTCTTGATCTTTCTTCAGAGTGAAATTTCCCACTGACTAGGAAACAGATGTAGCTGAGAGTGGTTTTTTTAAAAAATATATTTTTATTGATTTTTTCACAGAGAGGAAGGGAGAGGGATAGAGAGTTAGAAACATCGATGAGAGAGAAACATCGTTCAGCTGCCTCCTGCACGCCCCCTACTGGGGATGTGCCCGCAACTAAGGTACATGCCCTTGACCGGAATCGAACCTGGGACCTTTCAGTCTGCAGGCCGATGCTCTATCCACTGAGCCAAACCGGTAAGGGCTGGGCGTGGGTTTTTTAACAATATATTTTTATTGATTTCAGAGAGAGGAAGGGAGAGGGAGAGAGAGAAACATCAACGATGAGAGAGAATCATTGATCCGCTGTCTCCTGCACGCCCCCTTCTGGGGATGGAGCCCGCAATCTGGGCATGTGCTCTGACCGGGAATGGAACTGTGACCCCCTGGTTGATAGGTCAATGTTCAACCACTGAGCCACACCGGCCGGGGAGCAAGGAGTGTTTTTAACCAGGGATATCTCAAAAGTTACCCTCTGCTGTGTATTAGCGTCCTGGAGCTGCTGTAACAAAGGAGCACAAACTGAGTGGCTCAGAGGAAGGGACACTTGTTGTCTCAGCATCTGGAGGCTGAAAGTCCAAAGCCAAGGTGTGGGCGGGGCCAGCTCCCTCTGGAGTCCCCAGGGGAATCCTTCCTCACCGCTTTTACTGGGTTCGAAGCTCTATCACACCAGTCCCTGCCTTTGTCATCGCACGTGTCCTCCCTGGGTGTCTCTGTGTCTTCACACGGTGTCTTCTAATAAAGACCCAGTCCTATGGATTAGGGGCCCACCTACTCCAGAACGACCTCATCCTAATTACATCCGCTGCAATCCTTTTTCCAAAAAGGTCAGACTGTGAGGTCCTGGGGGTTCGGACTTCAGCATATCTTTTGGGGGAGGGACACAGTGCAATTCGTGCCATGCTGTGTCTTTGCTTTATCCTGTCAGGGACTAAATGACCTCCACCCAGGAGCCCATTCAATCTTTCAGCTCCAGCAGCTGCAGTGCAAACTGATGTTAATACTGAGCATTCACACCTTGAAGGCACAACCTCATAATCCTCCCACTGTTGGCTGGGGACAGCAACGTGTCCTCATCTTTCACAAGCCCTGCGTAGTCACAAGTCCACAGCCCGTCGCCTCAAACTCAGGTGTCAGCATGAAACAGCAAAGGGCTCCTCACCTGTCTTTCCTTGGTTTACCAGATGGGCAAACACGACGAAGCTTGGATGATTCTCAAGAAAGTCCATGACACCAACATGAGAGCTAAGGGGACCCCGGAGAAGGTGTTCACGGTGAGTGGGAGGTCGCCTATGCCAGCAACAGGGGCTTCTCTCCTCTTTTCTGGTTTGGTTTGCTGAAAAATAATGTTGTTATGTAAGCACAGCCCAGAAAATGTCTCTGATGAATAAGACCCCTGACATTCTTATCATAATAAGTTCTTTGCATTTTGATGGGTGTCCTTTTTAGTACCAATAATAATGAAAGATAAAACTAGCTGTGTTCATGAGGGGATAACATAATTGCATGTATTCACAAGTACGTGTTACTTAAGAGTTCTCATGAGTACTCTATTCATAGTGTCATAGTGTTCATAAGCATGCTTTTAGAAAAATATATATTTTATTGCTTTCAGAGAGGAAGGAAGAGGGAGAGAGAAAGAGAGAAAGATCAATGATGACAGAGAATCATTGATTGGCTGCCTCTTGCACAACCCCCACTGGAGATTGAGCCCGCAATCCTGGCGGTCAAGGGCACATGCTCTCTTCACTAAGCCAAACAAGCTAGGGCCATAAGCACGCTTTTTATTTTATCCTCATCTGAGGATTTTTTTTTCCATTGATTTTTTTTTTTTTAGAGAGAGTGGAAGGGACGGGGAGAGATACAGAGAGAGAAACAGAGATGTGAGAGAGACACATCAATTGGTTGCCTCCCACATGTGCCCTGACGGGGCTGGGGGTGAGCCTGCAACCGAGGTATGTGCCCTTGACCAGAATCTGAACCCAGAATCAGTCCATGGGCCAATGCTGTAATCACTGAGCAAAACTGGCTAGGGCTGTTCTTTCGTGTTTTTAAAATGTCCTACATAGCAAACCCCATTTCCCCATTACACACACACACACACACACACACACACACTATTGCCTACATGCGTTCTAGAATTCTGTGATGTTAATAACCATTGAGGATAAACTTGTGAATTTTAAGGTAGAGTCAACCATACTGTGGGAAAATCAGATACACATGGGAATTTAGTGAATTATTACCCATTAATTTCAAGGCTTGACTGAGAGATATGACTGATTCATTTTTGTCTGCAGTGGGATAAATATCCCAAAGAAATGCTATCTACATCTTTGGTTATAATGTGCACTATTAACCAGTACACCAAGTGTGCATTATTAACCGGTACACCAAATGTGCATTATTAACCGGTACACCTGGTAAGCATCACTGAACTAGAGGGTCGCCACAGGCTCCTCTGGCCCTCAATACATTAATAAAGTCACCTCCATGAAACTACAAATGGAAAAGTCTGGTAGAAAGTAGGGGTAAGATTCTCTGGCTCATCTTTGCTTTGCAGGTGTCCCACATCAAGACTCCCAAGCAAATGGATGAGTTCTTTGAGATCCAAAATGCAACAGGAACTTGGTACCAGCGCTGCCTGGTCAGATTCAAGACCACTTTCAAGCAGGTATGACTGGGGACGTGTGGTGGCTGAGAGGCGGGGCTCTGTGGAAATCTGGAACCTCAGTGGAGAAAGCAGAAGTCTTGAGCATCCCCATCCACCCAAGACCGTGTGAGGGGGAGGGAGCAGCCCTGCACGGGGACCTTTGGGACCGAGCCCATGACCATTTCTTTGCTCTCCCTCCCCAAGGCAGAGATTTTGAATGTAGGTAAAATGTGTCATCTAAGTAAACATCCTTCTCTCTAGCATCTGCTTTTTAAATAATCCATCAGAAGAAAGGAATGAGTGAAATAAATGCCCCCCTACCCCCACCTGCCCCCCAAGGTTTGCTAGTGATGTCTGAGAAAGTCTTCATAAAGGGCCAGGCCATTTCTGCAGAAAAGTGGCTCCGACAGGCAAGCCAGCTGCTGAGCACTGAGGCAGCTGATGGCGTGTGTGCTGAGACTGGTGCCCTTGGTGCAGGGCCCTTTAATGTTTGGAGAGTAATAACCCATTCCCGCAAGCAGGGAGTGGAACTCAGCACTCAAGCGTATTCAGTGCTTGAAATCCCCACTCTGCATTTTTTTTTTTATTAATCCTCACCCGAGGATATTTTTTCATTGATTTTTAGAGAGAGTGGAAGAGAGAGGGAAAGACAGAAAGAAACATTGATGTGAGAGACACGTTGATTGGTTGCCTCCCAAATGCACCCTGACTGGGGCTGGGGCTTGAGCCTGCAACCAAGGATTCTGGTGTCCTTGACCAGAATCGAACCCGAGAATCTTCAGTCTGCGGGCCAGTGCTCTAACCACTGAGCGAAACTGGCCAGGGCTCAAGCAGTGTGCTTTTGATCACACGCATGGGATACTGTTGTGTTTCCAGGGAAGATGCTATGGGACTGTTAGAGGTCGAGGCCAGACAGTAAGAAGAGAAAAGGCTTTCCTTGGAACAGGATTGCCACTCGCGGGAGATAACGTCGCCCATTCTCTCCACGGCTTCCTAGGCAGTTCATGAGGAAATCTTAGAAAGGAGTTGTGCTGAGTCACAGTTCCTGCCTTTAACCCCCGTGGTCTGGTGTGGGTTTCAGGTCTGGGATAATGCTCAGTACTGCCTGCTGGGGCCTTACAGGATGAACACGCTGATTCTGGCCGTGGTCTGGTTCACTATGGCCTTCAGGTAAGTCCTTACTAAATTCGCTAATTTCTCTGAGCTTCACGGGCCTCATAACTGATGATTGTGATCAGTTCTAACTCGTGGAGTCTGAATAGGACTGGATGCTTTCAGCCGCAAATCACAGGCAAGGTACTCTAGTAGCATCTTTAATGAAATTTTTTACTCTTGTAACCGGAATTCCATAGGGAGGCAGGCCACAGGAGGAATTTCTGCCTCAGGCAAACCATGACCCCCTGGTTTATAGGTTGATGCTCAACCGCTGAGCCACACCAGCAGGGCCTTCCTCATTTTCTTATTCAAAGGAATACATTGTTGTATCTGCTTTAGGTATTCAACAATATATTCTGGAGATCTCTCAGACCAGTAAATTGAGATTTTCCTCGCTCCTTACAGCCCTCCACAGAAAAGTACCTCACTTTATCCAGCCAGGGATACATTGCTCAACTCTTGGGGAGATTTCAGACTTCTCCTGTTGCAAACACCGCCACAATGACTCACTGTCTGGAGGCTGCGTTGTATTGTGCAACTCTATCAGTGGAACAGATTCCTAGAAATGGGATTATGGAATCAAAGAGGGGAAACCCATCAGTGATTTCTTTAGACTTTGACCCATTGTCCTCCATATGGTATTGTGCAGTTTTATCCTTTACTCAGCAATGTCTGAGACCACCTGTTTACCCACAGCCTCACCAACAGGGTGTTTGGCAATCTTTGAGGTTTTGACAAACTGGTAGGCGAGTATGGTAACACAGTATGTTTTTAATTTGCATTTTTTTCTTATTATGCGTGGGATGGAGTATGTTTTTTATGTCTCATGACCATTTGTTTGAGTTCGTTATTTTGAATTTTCCAGGTATAAAACCATATCGTCTACAAATAGTTGTTTTACCTTTTGCTTTTTTACATTTTTATGTTCTTTCTCTTGTCTAACTGAGTTGGCTAAGACCTACGCTATAGTGTTCAATAGTAGTGGTGATAATGGTTGTCCTAGTCATGTTTCTGACATTAGTGGGAATGTCTTTAGTGTTTCCCCATTAAGTAAAACTCTCCCTTTTGAGCTGAGATATGCATTTTCTTACATGTTATGGGGAGAGGAAGGGAGTGGGAGAGACAGAGAGAAACATTGATGTGAGAGAGACACATCGATTGGTTGCCTCTCACATGCGCCCCAACCGGGGCTGGGGGTCGAGCCTGCAACCAGCCGAGGTATGTGCCCTTGATCAGAACCGAACCCAGGACCCTTCCGGCTTCGGGCCTACGATCTATCCACTGAGCCAAACCAGTGGACTGGACTGTTCATTTCATTTGTCCCAATCTATTGGTATTTTTATCAGGAACGAATGTTGTTTTTCATCAAATGCCATTTCCGCATCTATGGAGATGGTATTGAATTTTTCCCCTTAGATCCGTTACTATGATGTGTTATCTGATTAGAGCAATCATGTCAAACTCGTGGCCCATGGTCCGCATGCCTCATTGATTTGGCCCGTGTTAGCCTTTGAGTTTGACATGCTTGGATGAGAGTTTCTACTAATGAACGATAATAGTACATTTGAAAGGAGTGTTATCAACCTCAAATCAGGAATGCAGATTCTGCTCATGAGATAATAATATTTGCTCACATATTGTGTCTTCTCTGCTCCAGTTACTACGGCCTGACCGTTTGGTTCCCCGACATGATCCGGTATTTTCAAGAGGAAGAATACAAGTCCAAGATGAAGGTATTTTTCGGCGAGCACGTGTTCGGTGCCACAATCAACTTCACGATGGAAAATCAGATCCACCAGCATGGCAAGCTTGTGAATGACAAGTAAGTGAGAGACTCAGACAGTCCCTAGATCAGCTGATGGTCCAGGGGACTGTTCTTGGGAGAGAGCCATTGGACAGATAGGAATTCATGGTGGGGGAATGAGCTCCAAGAATATTGTGGTCCCACAACTTCCCATGGCTGCCAGAAACCCTCTAATTCCCCGGGAGGCCCTGCCTGTGTTGTGTTGGCTCCCAGTCATCCCTCACCACCTGTGGTATCTGATCCATCTAAGGATGGAGGCATTTGACTGAGGAGCATCTATCAGACCATCTTTCCTGAGACCCCACACCTTGTTATTGATCAGCTGCCTCCTACACACACCCTACTGGGGACTGAGCCCGAAACCCAGGCCTGTGCCCTGACTAGGAATTGAACCGTGATCTCCTGGTTCACAGGTCGATGCTCAACCACTGAGCCACACCTGCCAGGCAGCAAATGTATCTTTCTGAACGCCTGCGCAAGTGCATGTAGGATTCATTCGTAGAGGTGGTTTTTCCTATGACAGAGGGATTGTGCACTAAAAAATTTGCAAAACTGCTTTTCAAACAGGCTGCACCAATTATATTCTATTAACAATGTGAGTGAAAGTGCCTATTTCCCCACATCTTTGTTGGGACAATTTTAAAAATGAAGATTCTCACACAAGTCTCTTGTTTTTTTGTTTTGTTGTTGTTAATCCTCATCAGAGGAGATTTTTCCATTGAATTTTTTTTTTTTTAGAGAGAGAGGAAGGGAGAGGGAGAGACAGAGAGAGAAACATCGATGTGAGAGAGACACATCGATTTGTTGTCTTCCACACGGGAGATCGAGCCTGCAACCGGGTACATTCCCTTGACTGGAATCGAACCCGCAACCCTTCAGTCCATGGGCTGATGGTCTATCCACTGAGCCCAAACCGGCCAGGCCTCAAATCTCTTGTTTTTAAACCTACTAAGACCAGTGGAGGGACCTGCATGTTTTGAAAGCTCCTCATAATGTGAGATGCTACCAGTATTTTCGTTTCCCATGGTTCACATTTCTATGAGCCCAATGTGGACGGTCCAGGGGCCTGCACTTGAGAACCATCAGGCTGATGGGGTAGCCCCATAGGTCCCTGCACTAGACACCAGCTTCCACCCTCCTGAGCTTCCCTCATCTATAAACCAGCAGCTATGAAAGGGGGAATTCATTTGTCCCAATCTATTGGTATTTTTATCAGGAACGAATGTTGTTTTTCATCAAATGCCATTTCCGCATCTATGGAGATGGTATTGAATTTTTCCCCTTAGATCCGTTACTATGATGTGTTATCTGATTAGAGCAATCATGTCAAACTCGTGGCCCATGGTCCGCATGCCTCATTGATTTGGCCCGTGTTAGCCTTTGAGTTTGACATGCTTGGATGAGAGTTTCTACTAATGAACGATAATAATACATTTGAAAGGAATGTTATCTATCTCAAATCAGGGATGCAGATTCTGCTCATGAGATAATAATATTTGCTCACATATTGTGTCTTCTCTGCTCCAGTTACTACGGCCTGACCGTTTGGTTCCCCGACATGATCCGGTATTTTCAAGAGGAAGAATACAAGTCCAAGATGAAGGTATTTTTCGGCGAGCACGTGTTCGGTGCCACAATCAACTTCACGATGGAAAATCAGATCCACCAGCATGGCAAGCTTGTGAATGACAAGTAAGTGAGAGACTCAGACAGTCCCTAGATCAGCTGATGGTCCAGGGGACTGTTCTTGGGAGAGAGCCATTGGACAGATAGGAATTCATGGTGGGGGAATGAGCTCCAAGAATATTGTGGTCCCACAACTTCCCATGGCTGCCAGAAACCCTCTAATTCCCCGGGAGGCCCTGCCTGTGTTGTGTTGGCTCCCAGTCATCCCTCACCACCTGTGGTATCTGATCCATCTAAGGATGGAGGCATTTGACTGAGGAGCATCTATCAGACCATCTTTCCTGAGACCCCACACCTTGTTTTAAAATAAATATATTTTTATTGATTTCAGAGAGGAAGGGAGACGGAGAGAGAGAGAGATAGAAACATCAATAATGAGAGCGAGTTATTGATCAGCTGCCTCCTACACACACCCTACTGGGGACTGAGCCCGAAACCCAGGCCTGTGCCCTGACTAGGAATTGAACCGTGATCTCCTGGTTCACAGGTCGATGCTCAACCACTGAGCCACACCTGCCAGGCAGCAAATGTATCTTTCTGAACGCCTGCGCAAGTGCATGTAGGATTCATTCGTAGAGGTGGTTTTTCCTATGACAGAGGGATTGTGCACTAAAAAATTTGCAAAACTGCTTTTCAAACAGGCTGCACCAATTATATTCTATTAACAATGTGAGTGAAAGTGCCTATTTCCCCACATCTTTGTTGGGACAATTTTAAAAATGAAGATTCTCACACAAGTCTCTTGTTTTTTTGTTTTGTTGTTGTTAATCCTCATCAGAGGAGATTTTTCCATTGAATTTTTTTTTTTTTAGAGAGAGAGGAAGGGAGAGGGAGAGACAGAGAGAGAAACATCGATGTGAGAGAGACACATCGATTTGTTGTCTTCCACACGGGAGATCGAGCCTGCAACCGGGTACATTCCCTTGACTGGAATCGAACCCGCAACCCTTCAGTCCATGGGCTGATGGTCTATCCACTGAGCCCAAACCGGCCAGGCCTCAAATCTCTTGTTTTTAAACCTACTAAGACCAGCGGAGAGACCTGCATGATTTGAAAGCTCCTCATAATGTGAGATGCTACCAGTATTTTCGTTTCACGTGGTTCATACCAGCTTCCACCCTCCTGAGCTTCCATCATCTATAAACCAGCAGCTATGAAAGGGGAACTAGCCTTAGCTGGTGTGGCTCAGTGGATAGAGTGTTGGCCTGTGGACCAAAGGGTCCTGGGTTCAATTCTGGTCAAGGGCACCTTTTGGTTGCAGGCTCCTCCCCAGCCCAGGCCCTGGTTGGGGTGTGTGCAGGAGGCAACCAGTCAATGTGTTTCTCTCACATCGATGTTTCTCTCTGTCTTTCCCTCTCTCTTCCACTCTCTCTAAAAATTAGTGGAAAAATCCTTAGGTGAGGATTAACAAAAAACAAACAAACACACACACACAAAGTGGGGGGAACTAGTTTGGGCTGAAAATCATATTTCAGTATCTTTTGGTTTGTAGTTCTCCCTTTTTATGGCTTCCTGTGGTTTTCATTTCACTCTCAAGTCTCCTTTCCCCCTGGTGGATCTCTCAGGAACAAATGTCTTTCCACAGGTTCACAAAGATGTATTTCAAGCATGTTCTCTTTGAAGACACGTTCTTTGATGAGTGCTATTTTGAAGATGTTACATCCACGGATACCTATTTCAAAAACTGCACCATCGAATCCACCATCTTTTATAACACAGGTAAGAACGGGGGCAGAGCGGGGAGATTGTCATGGGGGTGGACTAGTCTTGTCTAAGAACCAAAATGGTCATAAGCTTTAGGAGCGGTAAATACAGCACAGATACCCATGCTGAGCCTTAGGGTGGAGAAGTGGTTCCCGCCCCAGGTACGGTGCAGGTGAGTTGCACAGTCTTTACCAAGGCATTTCATTGATCTGCATCCGTCTTATCACATGTAAAATAACAATGAGTTCTATGCATTCTTATTTGTGATTAAAATGTGGCACAGCTTTTCACATGTCCGTCGATTGGTTGCCTCCCACATGTGCCCCGACTGGGGATTGGGGTGGAACCCAGGTACGTGCCCTTGACTGGGAATCGAACCTGCGACCTTTCCCTGTTCAGGCCAACGCTCTAACCAGGGAGCCACACCAGCAGGGCGATGTTTGCATATTCTTAACAGTGGGATTCCTGCCAACACTAAAAACCCTCTGTGCTCTGCCATTCATCTCCCCTGCTCTGGCCCCCCTGCACCCCCCAAAAAACTACTGACCAAATTATCTTTATTTTGAAGAATGTTCAGGTTTCTCTATGGGCCCTGGGGTGGCCGCCTTACTGGATCAAATTCTTTTGTCGTTGGTGTTATGCCCAGATTTCAAGATCCCCAACAGACCAACAGGGAGCCAGCCAAGTCCGATGCAAAAGCAAAGAGTCCTTTATTATTATTACAGACCCGGGTCTGGCTCCCAGCCTCTTCCGACGCAACGGCAAGAGGAGAGAGAGACCGCCATGAGAAAAAAACAGGGTTTTAATAGGGGGGTGGAGTGAGGGGAGGAGAGATGACCGTCGGTCCTGCCGATTGGCCAGGCGCAAGCCGGGTCTTGTTACATAGGATGCGGTAATTTCTATGGCGCGCACATACCTCGACTGTCATTGGTTAGTTTAAAGAAATCCCGGGCATGGCCAGCAGAGGCCTGGGCTTCTGGGAAGAAGGTCTGAGCACATGGCTGCTGCCCCAACATGGAGGATACGGGGCAAGATGGAGGGCATAGCCCTCGCCCTTTCAGTTGGCTTTTAGAAGCTGGGTAGCCTCAGAGGACTGCTCTGTGCTTGAGAGATGATGTATTTACACAAGCTTCTCAGTGAATGCTCGTTTCCTTTTCCCTCGCCGATCAGAGTTGAGCAGGTCATTGCATTTGTAGAGGATTTTTGCTTCATCCACACCTTGGCGAGCGCCACCTTGACTTTGAAACTGTCTGATGGCCAGAGGCTGGTGCAGGCTGCCCAGGGAAGGGGCCCTACTTCATCCCTGCCTCTGCCCTGCCCCCCCCCCCCCCCCCCCCCCCCCCCC